ATGTTCTGGGAAGCTCCAGTGCCACACACACTCCCTCCTGTCCTCGAGGTGCCCTGCTGGAACCCCACATTCCAACAGGACCTCATTTCTCCCTTTCCACCCACAGGAGCCCCTCTCCCACATGCAATCCACTTGAAGCCAAGCCACTGCTCACGGCGGCGCTGATGGGACACCCCAGTGGCATGATGTTGAGGCCAGTGTGGAGCAAGGCCATAGGGAAGTGGCCAGCTTATACAACGGGTATCGAATGCCACAGATGACACAAATGAAGAAGCTGAGGGACAAGGGTCATGTCTGTGGCTGAGGAAGCAGGGAGAGCTCTGCGGGGAAGTAGATGCTCAGGTAAGACAAGAGGTCGTGAGGCTGGCCTGGCTCAGACCTGATCTCTTTTGTTTTTAGGGACAGTCTCCCCACATTGGAGCTCAGTCTGGTCTCAAATTTGTGACAATCCACCGGCTTCAATCTGTCAATTGAGAAAAGCTCTAAGAAGCGGGGGATAAGCCTCTAGGGAACACTCCTGGGTCACACAAAACCTTCAAGGCAGGCACCGCCACTCTGCCTAAAGGTTGAGAAAACTGAATTGCAGACTTTAAGAATTTAAAGGCAGTCACCCAGTCTCACAACTCTTAACTATCATCTTCCCACAAAACTGTAATACTACTATTTAAAAAAGAAAAAAGCCAGGCGTGATGACCCAACATCTTTAATCCCAGGCCCCAGGATCTCTGTGAGTTTGAGGCCAGCCTGGCCTTTTTAGTCAGTCTCAGGACAGCCAGGGCTACAGAGCGTGACCCCACTGTACGACCTCAGCAAGTTCAAATCTTAGTTTCTAAAAACCCACGTCCCAGCGGCAGTGAGTGATTCAGCCTGTGTGTTCTGAAGGAGTCCCAGGTGAGCGTTCCATTTCAGCGAGCCACTATGACAGTAGCTGCTGTCACACACAGGCCTGACGGGAGCGGCTTCTTCAGACCAGGCTTCTTTACTTCCCACAGGACACCCAGCATTTCTGTGTGCGGCCACTTTCATTCCACAGGGACAAAGCTAAGGGATCTGAATCGGCTGTGAGATCGTTAGCTGCATTTCCTTAGAAGACACGGGGAGAAGTGTACCAAGAGGTCCGGTGTGCTTGCCTAATCCCCCAAGCAACCGTTCCTTTTATGGGAGTGCCTTGCCAGTCAACGGGGTTCATGAGGACAGATAAAGGCACATTCCACTGCTGTGTAAAAATAAGTTAAAGAAAGAAAGGCGGCCGGTAAGACAGTTTAAGGCAATGGTTCTCAACCTTCCGAACCCTGTGACCCTTTAATATAGTTCCTGTTGTGGTGACTCCCAACCATAAAATTATTTTCACTGCTTCTCCATAACTGTAATTCTGCTACTGTTGTGAATTGTAATGTAAACATCTGTTTTCCCATGGTCTTAGCCACAACCCCTGTGAAAGGATCTTTCAACCTCCAGAGAGGTCATGACCTACAGGTTGAGAACCACTGGTTTAGGTGGTGAAGGCCCTTGTTGCACTAACCTGAGTTTAAGCCCTCCATCCTCTAGAGGAAGGAAAGAATGTATTCCTCAAAGTTTTCTGACCCCCAACTTGTCCAGTACCCACTTTTACTCAAAAAATTCAACCAACTGTGGTAGCGCACACCTTTGATCCAGCACTTGGAAGGCAGAGGCAGGTGGATCTATGGGCCAGCCTGGTCTTCAGAGAGAGTTCCAGGACAGCCAGGGCTACGTAGAGAGACCCTGTGTCACCTATACAAACATAATCCCCACCCCCCCAAAAAGATGAAAAGGCCCCACTAACGATGTCTGCATTTAGGGAGCAGCATAATGGACAGGAGAGACAGGAAAAGAGAGAACACACAGGGCCCCAGAGCGCCTACAGCCCCGACATCATTTTAACGTCCCGAGCTGTGCTAAAACTCACACACTGCAATTAAAATAGTGTAATCGAACACAATGCCCATTGCAGTTAAGTGAGTGCCTTCAACAAACCACACTTTACAGCAGCCACAAAATATCCCCTCAGGCTGGGCGAAGCCTCACTCTGCAATTTAAAACACTTCCTTCTGCCAGTTTAAAAGAGAGAGAAAGCTTTCATTTCAGCCTATGAGATTGTGTGCCCAGAAAGGCCCAGTCCACTCCCTGATGGATGCTTCCTAGAGTCACTGAGTCACACAACCCTTTCGTCTGAAAGTAGTAAAATGTTTTCTAGGGTGGCATCAATTAGTCTTTCAGAAAGAGAACCCCAGGTATTTACCCTCTCTCCCCGTGTACACATACATATGTGCATAGGCACACACGGCAGCATGCATACGAGGGCGTGGAGGCCAGAGGAAACCCTCCGGTGTTCCACCTCAGGTGGACCTTGTCTCCAAGGGTGCAGTCCACCTTGTATGAGACAGGCCTGCAGTTCACCCGTTCGGTCAGACTGACTGGCTAATGTGCCCCAGGGATCCTCCTGTCTCCCCATCCTGGGGATCCAAATGGGTGACAAATGTTCGTCAGAATTCCTGGTTTTTTACAAGGGTTCTGGGGATTGAATGCAGGTCTTCATGTACCCAGGGCAGGTGCCTTACCAACAGAGCTATCATTCCTGTCCCAGCAACTACTCTTTATTGAATGCTGAACACGAACCATAGCTGTGTTAGGTGTTTAAAACTCACCATCTCACCTGACCCTTATCAACACACTGTCCTTCCCAAGAGCTGTTCAAAGAGGTGCAGTGACCAGTCTCCAGTCACACAGCACAAAAGCAGCCAAGTCCAATCCCAAATGCTCCTTAGCACACTTTATCATAAATGCCCCACTTGGAAACACTTCCTCATAAATACTCCATTTGGTCAACACTGAATGGTTCACGGCATATTCTCTTCAAACCATCCCCAAACAAACAAATTCATGATGTTGCCAAGTGAGGGAAACAACTAGGGATTGCAACCAGATATTTTGTTTCCTTGTTTTAAAAGCCTGACACCTTCAAAAAACAAATTACTGCGGGGTAACTTCAGTAACACTATGTGGTCTACACAGGTGGGGTCCATTGGGCTTCAGTATTTCCATATGGTACTATGGTTAGAAGGATACTTTTACTAAAAAAAATAAATAAATCCTGCTAGATTAATCTGCCTCTTTCCTCCTCTAACAATCTCTGGGTTTTAGCTGGGGGATGAGGGTGGGGTGGTGGCACATGCCTTTAAACCCAGGCAAGAGGCTGGCAGATCTGTGTGTCTGTGGTCAGCCTGGTCTACAAAGGAAGTTCGAGGACAGTCAGAGCAGTTACACTGAGAAACTCTGTCTCAAAAAACAAAACAACACAACAACAACAATCTCAAAATTTTTAGGGAGAGAGCACAAGAGAGCCTAGAGTCACCCACCAGCAGGCTGTTTGACTCCCCTCCACCAATCCCTCTGCTAAATAGCAGTTTATTTTATTAAATGTTCCACCTACAGAGTTCCAGTAGCTGTTCTGACAGAAACAGAATAGTCACATACAGCAAAGTAGCAGCTTGCAGGCAGGGTCACATACTGAGAAGCATGCCTATCATTTTATTATTAAACTAGAAAGACACTCAGCTGGCGGCCAACAAAACGTCTCCCAGAAACTGCCCAGAAGCAAAGCAAGGATTGTCCTTTCTTGGGCAGACACGGAATTCTCATTCAGTGGAGAAAGATAGATTTTTGTCTCTTATTCTCTGAAATGGAAAGTGCCACATGGATACCACAAACTGGGTAAATTGCATCTCGGAGCAGCGTTCATTGCCAAGCTGCAAAGCCCTGAATACAAGGGGTGTATTAATGGAAAGACTGATACCATCTTACTACAGTGGCCTCTCTGTAGAGGCAGACAATGATCTGTTGAGGGTTTTCCAGGGATTCTGAATGTACAACCTTCTTACAAGCCCCCTTGGAAGGGGGCTGGCTGGGTGCTGAATCCCTCTTCGGAAAGCCAGCCAAAAGCCCCTTACACCAGCTTCTGGCAGGAGAAACTAGGCACTGCGGGTATAGGGAAGCTCAGACTTCCCAGACAAAGGAGGTAGGTGGGCCAGGGAGAGCAGGATCAGACAGCCCCAGACTCAGCACATCGGAGTCAGGACCAGGTGGGAGAAGGGAAACGGGAAGTACTGCAAGGGCAAAGTCGCTCAGAGCAAACCACAGGAGAGGTGTGGAGGAAGAGAACCAGAAACATGGGCGGGCGCATGCCTTCCAGAGGCTGGGCAGGCCCTGGACTATAGAGAGGGGGTCAGCAGTCAACTCCCGGCCCCCATTTACTCTGTTGCCAGAAGCAATTTAAGGAACCCAAAGAGGTGGGCAGACAACTGTGGGGGCACAGCCAATTATACTAGAATTCCCTCCAGCCTTTCTTTCCACGAATGCCGGGGTGCCTGGGGAAAGGGATCCTCCTGTTACCCAGACCGTTCACAGAACAAGCAAAGGAAGGGGACTCTTGAGCCAACTCTGCTAGGGCCTCCTGCACGGGAAAGGGGCACTTGGGGAGCCGGCAGTCACTGGGCCCCTTCCCACCTCACCCTGGCTGTCTGTGGCCTGGAGCCTCTGAACTTCGAGGACCCTTCTCAGAATCCCAAACTAGACTCAGGCAGCTACAGATCTCTGCTACCCACACGCCCATCCAGGAACCATCCGTCAACACCGGCTAGTTGCCAGACCCGACCCGCTCCAGTGCCCCTACGACTTTCCAACCTTTCCCCTCGAAGCGTTTCCAAATCCGTGCCTAATCTACCTGCCTTGGTCCCCTGGAGTCCTTGGGAGACTCAACTGCAGTCCCCTCCACAGCTACCCACCCAATCTCAGCGCCCTCACTCCCTCTCGCGGCGCCAGCCTCCGCCCCAAAGACCCCATGTCCCGGTCCTAGGATCTGACCCCTGCCTCGAGCCGGCCTGGGGCCCTCAGCGCCCCCAATCCTCGCCTCAGGGCCCCACTCTGGATGCCAGCGCGCCGTCCCAGCACCCCCCTCGCCCGGTCCCAAGGCGGGCGCTCACCTCCTCCATCCCCCGCACCATGTCGCCGAGCTGCTCGTCGTCCTCCAGCAGTTCGTGCAGCTGCATTAGGGACAGCCCCGCGAAGCGCGACTCGCTCGCGGCGCCCGCCATCCCGCCACTCGGCCGCCCGCCGCCGCCGCCGCCGCCACTCGGGCCGCCAGGCTCCGCCGACCGGAAGCGCCGCCCTCAAGCCCCACCCCTTCGCGGGGGGGGGGCGTGACGCCAGCGCTGGGTGTGACGTCATCGGCGCGCGAGAGCGCCGCCCGGGTCGGAGGCTTCTGAGGAGAAGCGAGAGGGGACTTTGAGGGCTTAGTGACGGTGTCCGCACGGTCATGATGTCACAGCGGTGAAGGTGAGACTGTCGTGAGGTCATAAGAGCACCCCCACCTCGGGGGGATAAAAAGGCAGGACTCAAAAGAGCAAGCAGGCTGGGCTTGGTGGCTCTCGCCTTCAATCCCTGCGCTTGTGAGTTCGAGACCAGCCAGGTCTACCTAGTGAGACCCTGCTTCAAAAACAAACAAACAAAAATAATAAAAACAAAAAGCAAATATTGAGAAGAGCCTTTAATCCCAGCACTCGGGAGGCAGAGGCTGGCGGATCTCTGTGAGTTCGAAGCCTCCAAAACAATACAGAGAAACCCTGTCTCGTAAAAAAACAAAGGTATATCTATATATTGAGAAGAAATCGTTAAGGCCTGAGTCGAGACTGAATCCCAGAGACCTGAAGGAGGAGATTGAGTGGGAAACACTTGCAGATGCCATCCGCTCCCTTGGAATTTAGTACAGTGTTAGGTACTGAGTATAGAATTAAAAAAAAAAAAAGTGTGTGTGTCCTGTGAGTGCAGTGCCCTCTGAGGCCTGAAGATGGCGTCCCATCCCCTGCTGACCTCTCCCATCCACATTTTATCTTTTCAATTTGATGGGAGAGGGGTTCGAGTCAAGATTTCTCTGTGTAGCTTTGGAGCCTGTTCTGGAAAGCGCTCTTGTAGACCAGGTTGGTCTCGAACTCACAGAAATCCGCCTGCCTCTGCCTAAGCAGGATCTCACTGTAGCCCAGGCTGACAAACTCACAGAAGTCCTCCTGTGGCACCCTCTGAAATGCTGGGATCGCAGACACGAACCACTGTGCCTAACTGAGTGTGCAGTTCCGAATAAAACAGGACACCCCGCCTGCATATAGCTGACGGGGGACCCCAAACAGTCATTAGTGTTATATACCCCAGGAACTCAAAAAACAGTGGTACCAAAATAAGAACATTGTGAGAAAGAACTTATCTAGAAGGAGCAGCTGAGGAGATCAGAAGAAGGGACAAACCCATCGCCATTCCCGTGGGAAGCTCAAGCAGCAGGTCTAGCGTGTGTGAAGACCCTGAGGCAGGACAGGCTTGGGACAGTTCATGAATGGGAGGGAAGTATTTCTGGAGCATCATAAACAGGGACATGTGGATGCCCTTTGACCGTGCCCACACATCCAGGCGAACCAAGCGAGGCCCTTGCAGAGATGTCCCAATTTAGGGTGCATCTGCTCAGTCTCTCTAGCTATCTGGAGATGGGGGATGAGGGAATTCATGACCCTGCTCCAGACTTCATCACAGGTGTGATTGGAAGAAACTGAGGCCCAGGCTAATCTCTACATGTGCATATGGAGACTGAGTCCTTGGAACGAGGAAGTTGGGTTCCCCACCCACAAGTCAAACAATCGACTAGCACCCGTCACAGCCACACCATCCTGATGCCGTCACCATGTGCACAGTCAGGCATTTAGTGCATGCTTATTGGGTGACTGGTGGCCTCCATGTGTGAGGGTGAGACTTGTGTGACTCCGTAGTAGAACATGAGGTCTGAGCTGTCCACCCGTGCATTTGGCCGGGCTCCAGCGACCCAGGCTTCTAGCTGTTTGTGCTCAGGAGACGCACGCCGACTTATTAGAGGTGTTTGGATTTAACTGCAAGCAGAAGGTTTTGCTGACGTCAGAAAGGGAACTTTTAGTTTTCTTCCCTTAAATTGTCATCATTGGTGTGAAAATGGGAAAGGATGTAGGAAGCGGGTTTATGGTATGTCTCATTCAGGAAGTGCCATCTGAGGTTTAAGATAGAACTTCTAACACCGCGCCCACGAAAGGTGAGAGTCAGGCGACACAGAGAAAAACAGCCGGTTTCGGTAAGCATAGACCACAAGCAAGCCTGGTAGCCAGAAGTGACAACGTACATGTATAATCCCAGCACTTGGGAAGTGGGAGCAAGAAGATCGGGAGTTGAAAGTCAGGTTGGGTTATATGAGACCCTGTCTCAAAAAAAAAAAAACCGGAACAAGGTGTGCCAGGCTTTTTCTTTTGGGCCACCAACAAGCTCTCAAATCATGACATGGAGACTTGTTAGTTTTCAATGCTTGGTCTAGCTCTGGCTAGTTCTTTTAACTTAAATTAACCTGTTTCTCTACCTACTTTTTTTCCCACCGGGCCTTTTTAATTTTTTTTTCTTTCCTCTCCTTTTTGCATATCTAACTTTCTCTGCTTCGTGTGTCTGCTGGCTGGCTAACTGGTTGCCTAGCTGGCCCCAAGTGTCTCCCTCGTTCTCTCCTCTCTTAGGTTTCTGCTTCTATGTCTTCTCTCTGCCCACCAGCATCACCTGTCCTACCTAGCTTTTGGCTGTTCAGCTTGTTTGTTTGTTGTTTCTTGAGATATGGTTTTTCTGTAGCTTTGGAGCCTGTCCTGCTACACAGCTGTAGACCAGGCTGGCCCGGAACTCACAGAGATCCACCTGCCTCTGCCTCCTGAGTGCTGGGATTAAAGGTGTTTGCCACCACCTCCAGCCGGTTCAGCTCTTTATGAGACCAACCAGATGCCTTAGGAAGGCAAAGCGAAAGGAATACAACACATCTTTACATAATTAAGCACACATCCTTACCTCGTTAAATGCAGCGTCAACAAATGTAGCACACCTTTACATAGTTAAAGTAACATTCCTCAGCATAAACAAATTTAACACATCTTTGCCAGGTTAAAGTTATATCCCACAACAGCAAGGCGGTTTCTAAACGGCTCGCCTGCACACAGTGACGACTGAAGGACTTTAACTGAGGCTCACATTCCCACCGTTACAGCTTGGGTCATCCTCAGCTCCTCACACCTGCGTCCTTGCCACTCACCTTTCAAGTCACATACCACTTCCTTTGTCAGAGAAAACCCCCAAATCATCTTGCCTCTGCTGCTCCAAAAGTGTCTCCTCGATGTCAAAGGGGCTGAGAGAAGTAGAGAAAGCCATTGTGGGGTTCTGGGAGCTGGTGTCAGGCCTGGCTGTGGGATGCACTAGTAAAGTTGCCCGCTCTTCTCTTTGCTTTTGGATGTGTGGTGTTTATGTTTCTCTCTGCACCTACATCTCCTGTAATACTTGTGGGTTAACTAGGATTTTGCTCTAAGGAATCAAAGGCCACCTATGTACATTGATGCCAGGGTGCCTACTCAAAGGAAACGTTGTTGTTGGGTAAGCTGGGCATCTCCTGTTACACAGTATTAGGAATTGTTAGGAAAGCATTCAGTACTTGCAAAAAAAGAAAAAAATCTTCCTATAATTTGTTTTTGTTTGTTTTGTTTTTTCAAAGGTTTCTCTATGTAGCCCTGGCTGTTCTGGAACTTTCTCTGGAGACCAGGCTGGCCTTAGAACTCACTGAGATCTCCTACCTCTGCCTCCCAAGTACTGGAATTAAAGGCGTGCACCATACACCTGGCCTGTAATTTTAATGGTAAAATCTTCTAACCTTAGGTAGAATTACTTCTCTTCAATGGTCACTGGTATTATTCATAAATAATGTCCAGCTTAAAGCCAGGTATGATAGCTCATGCCTGTAATCTAAGCATTTGGGAAACTGAAGCAGGAGGATTGCTGTGAGTTCGAGGCCTGGGCTATATATGTATATAGTAAATTCCAGACAAGCCTTGGCTGTAGTATAAAACTCCATCTCAAAAGTAAAGAGAAGAGGTTTCTGTCTGGAGGAGGTGGCAGAATATGTGTGACTGATAAGGTGTGCCTGGCTTAAGCTATGCAGCTGTGTGTAGGTGCTAGAGGAATTATTCCCCAAGGCATCAGGTGTGGGAGCCACACCCCTTTGAAGACTCACCCTGACTCGCTGTCATGCACTCACACCTAGATACCCAAAGTTACCCTCGCACTAGTCATCCACAAGGCTAAAAGTGTAGATACAGTTTTGGCTTTGGAGAGTAAGAAGATACACAGAGGACTTAAATGACTATTTAAAGACGATGTTATTTGGGTGTGCCATGAAAATAGAGGGCGTAAGATTATCGAGAAATTTTTTGTTAAAGAGTTTATTTTATTTTTTATTTTTTGGTTTTTCAAGACATGATTTCTCTGCATCGTTTTGGAGCCTGTCTTGGAACTCGCTCTGTAGGCTGGTCTCAAACTCACAGAGATCCACCTGCCTCTGCCTGCTGAGTGCTGGGATTAAAGGCATGTGCCACCAATGCCAGCCTTAATTTTTAATTATGTACTTGTATGTGTGGGTCATGTGTATGCGAGTGTACAAGAATGTAAGCCAGAGGAGGGTGTCAGATCCCTTAGAGCTGGAATTACAGGTAGTTGTAGTTGTAAGATGCCCAATGTGGGTGCTGGGATCTCAACTCGGGTACTCTGCTGGAGCAGTGTGTATTCTTAAATGCTGAGCCATCTCTCTAGCCCTAAAGTTGATTATTTTGATTTGAGGTTTGAGTCTTGGTTTTTAAATTCATGTACCAGTATATTATTACTAGGTTAAGAAACATCACAGAGTGAGTTGGAGCCTTGTATCCATCTCAATTCTGTCTCCTTTCTTCCTGTTTCCTTATTTTCCCTGGTGTGTATATGTCCATGTGCATATGGGTGTAGGCACAGGCATTTTGAGGATCGATTCTTCTGCCTTGTTCTGAGACAGTCTCTGTTGATCTTCCAGCTGCAGCATCGTACACTCCAGAGCAGCTAGCCTGCCGGATTCCAGGGCTGGTTCCGTTCTCCATCTCCCGTCTTGCCTTGGATTGCTGGGGTTGCTGGTGTGCCCACCGAATTCAGGTGTCCAGGTTTGTTTGTTAAGGTGGTTTCAAGCAAATCACAGTCAAGGTTGTCAGGCTTGCTGAGCACATATTTTATCCATTAAACCGCCTGGCCATTTCACTGGCCCCTCCTCCTCCCCTTTCTGTCCCTCCTTTTTACAAGTTTCCTTGCATAGCCATGGCTAACCTGGACTTTATTATGTAGACCAGGCTGGCCTTAAACTTGCATGTGTTCCATCTCCACTCCCGAGTGCTGGTATTAGAGGCCTGTGCCACGGTGCCATTTTAGCCATTCTAACCATCACTAAATGCTCAGTTGTGTGGCACTGAGGACATTTAACTGCGTGCCACCATCACCACTGTAGAGCTCCTTTGTCACAGAGCTGAGTGCTCTGCCCTCGTCTGCCTCCCCCCAGCCTGGCGACCACACCCTGCACTGTCTGTGTGCTTGGCAGGTTGGGAGCCTCGTGCAGCATGATCAAACAGCCTCTTTATTGGTTGCCTCCTGTCACCTACCAAGCCTTCAACTCTAGCTGTGTTCTAGACCAAATCAGAGTTTCACTCTTTCTAAGTCTATGTTTTGCATGTGTATGCGTGTACAGGTAACACATGTGTGCAGGGTATCCTTGTAGAGGTCAAAGGACAACGTGCATGGGTGATTTCTTTTCTTCCCCTTCATTGAAGCAGAGTTCCTGCTGTGATCTCTGTTGCACTGTGTGCTCCAGACTAACTGGCCCCTGAGTTTCTGTCCTCTCTGGAGGAGTGCTGGGTTTGGAGATGCTTGTAACCATACCCAGCTTCTTATGTGGGTTCCAGTGATCAAATCTGGGTCATCAGGCTTGCACAACTGTTTTACCTGCTTAGCCATCTCCCTGCTCCCCCAACCTTGTTTTATTTATTTATTTTTGAGATGGGGTCTCATATAGCCTTGAACTTGATACACTGCCATGAGTGACCTTGAACTTCTGGTCTTCTGGTGCCTCCATTCTCCAAGTGATTACAGGCATGTACCCCCATGCCTGGTTTTATGCAGCACTGCGGGTGGAACCCGGGGCTTTGTGCATGCCATGTCCTGATAACTAAGTATACCTTCTACCTTCTGCTCTTGTCCACCTTACAGATAAATTGCATCTCGTTATACATTCATCTGTTATGGACATTTGGACAGTACTTTTGTTTGTTTTGCTTTGCTTTTTTAACAGAGAGAGGGAAAGGGATAAGGAGAGGGAGAGCACACTTTGTCTTTTGGGACAGGGTCTTATACTACAGCTCAGGCTAGAACTCACCAGATAGCCCAGAGTGGCCTTGAAATCCTGGCTCAGCCTCCCAAGTCCCGGGATTACGGGTGTGAGCTACTACTAGCTGGTTTCCACTTTCTGACTCCTGTGAATAATTCTGCTGTGAACATGGACAGACACTGATCTCATTTCTGTTTCTGCCTTCACTTTCATTGTATACATATGAACTTTCTGTGGGCTGTAGAGTATTTGAACTTTCTGAGCAACCAGCATATTGTTCACTACAGCAGTCGCACCCACCAGAAATGTGCAACTATACAAAACATAGACTGTGCACAGGTTCGGTGGTAGAGCATATGCTTAGCATACTCAAGATTTGGCTTCCATCCCTGGATAACAACAACAACAATAATAAAAAACGACCCCTCTGGGTCCTGGGGAGAGGGTGGTGATGAGAGTTACTTGTGCTGGAACAGAACTTTGAAAGATGTGTATTCCTTCTGCTCTCACTACAGGTCAGAGCTGGCATTACAGGTGGCTGACATCTGTAATCCCAGGACACAAGAGGCAGAGGCAGGAGGATTGGGAGTTTAAAAACCTCCTCAATTACATAAGGAGTTTAAAGATAGCAGGGCAACATGAGACCCTGTTTCAGAGCAATACCACCAAAAAATACAACTCTATTACATATATGCCACATACCAGAATAGATTTTTTTGTTTGTGTTTTGTGCTTTAGAGACAGGGTTTCTCTGTATAACAGCCCTGGCTGACCTGGAACTCTGTTTATAGACCAGGCTGGTCTTGATTTTACTGAGATCTGCCTGCCACTGCTGGGCAGTAGTGGCGCATGCCTTTAGTCCCAGCATTTAACTGCTGAGCCACATCTCCAGCCCCCAGATTCTTTTTTAGTGCTATATAATATTCCTTTGTTCCAGTGACAACATTCAGGTTTTCTTTTGTTCATTTGATAGGTTGCCATGAACACTAAACATCTAAAAACATGCATGTAGACTACTAATTCCTAGAAATTGTAACAAATCACTTTGATTACATTTAATTATGTTTTGGGGATGGGGGTTGTATAGCATGGATACACAGATGTCAAAGGAGTGGATTTTCATCTGTGGGAATCCGAAAGACAGAGCTCAGGTCATCAAGCTTGACAAGAGTCTTCACCCACTTAACTGTCTCACTGGTCCCTGTTTTTTGACTCTCTTTAAAACGATGTAGCCCAGACTGACTTTGAATTTTCAATTTTCCTGACTCGGCCTCCCTTGAGCTGGAATTACAGGCATCAGATACCAAACCCTGACTGTCCTGAAACTCACTCTGTAGTCTAGACTGTCCTGGAACGCACAGAGATCCGCCTGCCTCTGCCTCCCAAGTGCTGGGATTAAAGGCGTGCGCCACCAACGCCTGGCTCAGACTTTTTTTTTTTTTTACTTTTTGTGTTTGAGACAGTTTCACTAAGTTGCCTTTAACTTGTTATCCTCCTGGCTCAGCCTCCTGAGTGACTGGAATTACAGACCTGCACCACTGGGTTCAGCTTCCACTTCCCTTAGCAATACAGCAGACTGTTTTCTTTCATTGTTTTTGTTTTGATTGTTCCAAAGGGGCTTTCTTTTGTTGCTATTGTTTTGATTCCATGCCTGGTTTTTTTCCCCCTTAAGTGGAGAATCTTCTCAACGGCAGGTGGTAATTCAGACACTAAATCTGGAAAACTGTGATCACTGTGAAGGTCTGCATGTCTCAGGCAGAAAGGTGTGAGGATGTGAACTTGTTTCACGACACCTCACAGCTCTTCTGGAGGTGGCTCTGCCAGTGTAGACCCTCTTAGGAGTCTCACACTTCAGCTGCCCACCCCCTCAGCCTTCCGACCTGTCCTCTGTTCCCGCAGTCTGCCTGCTGTGAAGCCACGGACATTCTGCCACTCTTTTCCTGTCACACCCTTCCCCTGCAGTTTAACATTACGAAACCATCTGTGGAAAGCACTAGAAGCCCAGTGTCACCACAAAGGCCTGCACTTCTCAGGGCTGAGGCGAGAAGATTGTGACTTTGAAGGTAGCCTGGGCTCTATAGTGGGGTCACTGACTTGAAAACAAAACGAAGGCTGACGGATGGGCTCAGCTAGGGAAAGTGCCTGCTGCACACACTTGACAACCCGAGTGTAATCCTCAAATCCCACAGTGGAGGAAGACAACCAACTCCTGACAGCTGCCTCCTCGAGCACGGGTGTGGGCACACCTCATACGTCTTCCCTGGCATCTTCTAAAGCTGGGGATTGTTGGGAGACTGAGAACCATGCCTCCATCCTGAACTTTACAAACCAGGGTGAGGAAACGTGTGATAGCAGCAGCAGAGATGGCTCAGAGGTAAAGAGCACTGGCTACTCTTCCACAGGGCCAGGTTCAGTTCCCAGCGCCCACATGGCAGCTACAATTCCAGCTCCTGGGAATCTGGCACATCTGACTCTTGAAGACACCTGTACTTGTGCACACCCCACATGCACACACACAAACACACACATGCATAACTAATAATAAAAACTCAAGGAAAGAAAGGTATGAGATCAAGGAGACAAGGTATAGAACTGAGAATTTCCCAGGGTCAGTGCGAATGACACGGTGTACACACACACACACACACACACACACACACACACACACACACACACACTCTAAAGAGGGAATGGACACAGGCTGGACAGGGTGGCACAGACTTTTAATCCCAACACTTAAGAAGCAGAAACAGGTGGATCTCTGGCTTCCCTGGTCTACATGGTGAGTTCTAGGACAGCCAGGACTATGTAGAGAATCTGTAGCTCTGATTGGCCTATGTAGACAAGGCTAGTTTTGAACTCATAGAGACCCAGCTACCACTGCTCCCGAGTGCTGGGAATAAAGATATGCACCACCACACCCAAGCTATGTATGTGTGTTTTGGGGGTGGGTGTGGGTGGGTGGTGGGTGGTGGTGGTGGTGGTGTTTTGCTTTGTCATTTTCATTTTTGGGTTTGAGACAGGGTCTTATATCTCAGGCTAGCCTCAAATTTATGGCAATCCTCCTGACTCAGGTTCCAGAGTGCTGAGATTACATTCATAAGCCTTCTCCATTTTGTTTCTTGGACTCAGTGTTCCTATCTGGGAAGTGAGGCAGTGTCTTGGCTCTTTTCCTGTAAAAATAAAATTCTTACAGCCTGGTCTGATGTGTATCCTTGACACTTAGTGAGGACACAAAAGTTGTGAATGAAAACATGGGCTGTTTCTAATCTGCTTTTTCAGACCCTCTCAGCTGCAGTGGTGTTTTGACTGGCTTTTCTAAATTCAGAGTGTTCCTTTGGCTCAGTAGAGAAAGTGCCAGCACAGGTTGTGTGATTCCTGTTGCTGCAGGGGAAGGATTTGGAAGATCTGAGGCTGCAAGCAGGGCTGGTAGCAGCTGAGTAGCTGGGCAACATTCCTCCTTGCCTGTCTATTTTAAACCCACAGATACCGGGGAGGCGGAGGCAGGACAACAAAGGCTGAACAGTGGGTGAAGGACATCTGGCAGGGAGAGCTGGCAGCAGGCTGACAGGCTTCCAGGATGACGACTGGTTCCCACTGCGTGCAGCCTGGGGGAGAGACGGGGCTTCGTGCCCCTGGACGCCCACATCGGAGGGGGAGGGCAAAGGCAGGGCCCACATTCAAAGAACCTTCCGGCACTCATGCAATCATTTAGCAAGACTCTGGCCTCATGGGATCTGGAAGCTGCCTCTCACAGGTCTAGGTTGAGCTCTGAGTCATCAGCTTTCT